ATTCCTTTTATAGATAGCATTATCTATAAACATGATGAAATGTTGCAAATAAAAACAAAATAAAAGGGGCTCTCTAGTCATTGCCTGCAGGCAGTCACTTTACTCTAAGCTCTCTGCATGCAATTTATGATCATCAAATCAGTTTTTTTTTTTTTTTTTTTTTTTTTTTTTATCATTTGGGTCTCATTTCTAAATTTGGCATAGCGCATCATCAAACTGACCTGGTGTTGCTATCTTACCAGGACTTTCTTACACATAAAACACACACCCTTCCCTCCCATTGTTCTCATTTAGCTAACAAACTCTTTGCACTGATGGGTTTTATGAAACAATGAAATGTTTTTCAGTGATTTGATTCATAGGAGCAGCAGACTTCCATTGCCTTAGTCCTGAATGAGACCATTCTGCAGTGGCCCAGTGCTCTCAATTCTGTCATCTGGTTAATTCTGTGTAGCAAAAAGCAAGACCAAAACCGGAAGACACCTAAAGAGATGTGCAAGCCTTGGCTTAGGTATTCAAGATGATTTGACAGTACTTTCTAAGCAAAGTGACCATGAACAGCTGTGCTTGCTCTCTGTAAAAAATCCATACTCTTCATGATGAGACCTGTGCATGAATTTAAAAATTAATATGAAATCGAATAATGTATTGTAAATGACTTAAAAGAAAACTTTGGGTAACAATATTGCTCAAAATGATCCCTTTCTTTAAAAAGCACCAAAAATGGCAGGATTTTTTTTTTTTTCCAGTCTTCATTACAAAGGCCTCCAAATCAGACTTTGAGTTAATTTACAGGTTTAGTATAGGAGGTGGGTTTATTTGGTTGAAGGCAAAACGAAATGTGAGGAAACATTTTTCCAAAGTATATCTGTTATAGCAGTTGTTATGTCTTGTGATTGAAAGAGTACTGATTTGACACCTTTTTTTAAAAAAAAAAAAAAATTAAACTCAACTCAGCTGAAGCTTTTGCTTAAACTTGCAATGGCTAAGTCATTTTTTTAAAAAACCCAATCATTTCTAAATAAGTGCTGAAGTCAGAGGACTTTTTAACACATGAGAAAGGATTAGCATAGAAAGAAAAAAGCTCTTGGTAAAGATTGTAAAGTTACGGCCTTGCTCACTAACAACAGCACAAATGAGCCACATTCCCATGAGCTGGAAATGGAGTGGGAGCAGCTGATCTGAAGGTCAGCATGATGCCGCACCTTAAGTCTGAACTGGAAACGTGTAGTGGTTGTCATCACATGGCCGCAGGTTTTTTGGTCTCTGGAGTATGAATAAGAAAACCAGAATTGACTGAAGGCAATGAGTTTTAATCTGTTGGAGTATGAATGAATATTTGAAGCATTGCTTTTTGGTTATTTGTTTTTTGTGTATTTGTTTTACTGTCCGTACTTTTTTACATGTAATTGTCCAAACCAACTGGGGTTTTCAGATTATTCCTCTTTTTTTTCCTTTCTCAGTCATTATACTTTTCTGTTTGCTCTAACTCACTGTAAAGTAGTACAATTAAAATAGTACAATAAAAACACTAGTAGGAAATCAGGATATCTGAGAAATACTAGAGAATATTTATTATGGAAATGAATTTTGGTGGTAGGAAGAGAGAAATTGATTCCATTCAACAAATTGGGTTAACAAATTTTAAAAATCTTAATAAAAGGAATATAAACCAATAGCAGCCCTTTGTTTATTTCTTTTAATTATCCTTTAGAAACAGCAGCTATAGTTTCCATATTGGTATTATGGTAGATACTACTTCTTGGTGGTATTGAGGCAAGAAAATTATTGAATGCTTGTCTAAGGCCAGCATTGACTAGCACATGTAGGATGCTTATACTCAGTGGAGTAAGTAAGAGAATCCAGATGGCATTTAATTTGAGTGGTTCAGTCCAGACTTTACCCTCATAAGCACATTAATCTGCCTGAGATTTGTACACATTTCCTTTGGAACCTCATTGGTCCAGTTGACAGTGATTTTGTTGGGGTCTCAAGGCTTTGGAGGCAGTGGACCTGGACGTTGAATCATGGCTTTGCCTTTGCTAGCTCACTTACTTTAGAGAAATTACTTAAACTTTTAAAACTTCAGTTTCCTTAGCATGGCATGAGCATAACAATACCTATTTTAAAAGTCAATATTAAAGGTTAGAAAGAATATATAAAAAGCAGACAGTTAATGTAGTGTCTGAAAATAGTAGGCATTGTCCTTGTTACTGTTGTTCTTATTTGGATTTTAGATCAAACTTCATTTGTTATCTACTCTACTTGGCTAATGTAAACCCATTGATTCCAACTCATAGAGATCCTACAGGGTAGAGTAGAAGGAAGGTTGGGCAATCCTACTTCCGTAGTGATACTGCCTCGGAAACCAAGTAGGGGACGCTATGAGTCGGGGCCGACTCAATGGCAAATAACAACAACAACACAGAGTAGAATTGCCCCAAAGCATTTCTAAGGTTCTAGTCTTTATGGATGCAGACTGCCTTATTTTTCATGAGAGCTTCTTTTGACATATATATGCCTGTTTGTGTGTGTGTACTTTTTATGTGTGAGTGAAGACATAAACATTTTGAAGTTCTATTAGAAGTTTAGTCTCTTCTTAAATTCCAGTTATACAATACCAGACAGAAGAGCAGAATATGGTCTCTGTTTTACTCTAAAACTGAAAACATGGCCCTCACTAATTTCTGTTGTTGTTGTTGTTGTTGTTGTTATGTGCCGTCGAGTTGGCCCTGACTCATAGTTACCCCTCCTTGGGTTTCCGAGGCAGTATCACTATGGAAGTAGATTGTCCCATTTTCCTTCCGAGCAGTGGCTGGTGGGTTTGAACCACCAGCCTTCTGGTTAGCAGTCAAGTGCCTTAGGCACTATGCTACCAAAGCTCCTTTGCTAATTTCTAGAACATGAGAAACATAGTAGGGGGTTGATGGGCACATTTCCATCCTTTTGTGCAGATTTTGGAAACATTTTAGTCTGTTCTTACTACAGAACAGTTGAATAGTGTTTGGGGTTATACTTCTCTCATTGAAATAAATTGAGGGTAGGGATGGACAAAAGACTCCTCAGAGGGCTTTCAAGGATCATACTATGTAACCCTTCAACTCTATTTATTTGTGACCTAAGAATGCACGTTTTGCCAGATCTTCAAGTGCACTGATATTTGAAGGCGTCAACAAAATCATTTTATGTCCACCCAAAACATGTGCCTGTAAAAATGTGCTTTGTTTCTGTTCTCTAATTGTGGGGCAAACAGACATCTGTCCTGATGCATCCTTCCACAGACTTCAGGTTTTTCCTTCGTTGATTCCAAATGTACTTAAGGCTGCTTGCAGGATGTGTTCATGATTTCTTTATGGAATTTATTTTGTCCGTTTGGTTTTTAACAAACCTCTCTAGCATGTTTCTGTTGCCTGTAAATTGCTTTTCTGGGGTGCTTTGTCTTAGCCTTTCTCTGGCTGCTCCCCCTGCTGCCTTGTAAAAGTTAGTGCACAACATCTGTTAGAGCTTTCTATACTGCTGATGTTCTTTTTGGGAGCTCTGG